GGCATAAAGCCCAAGACCCCTCGGTGCAACGCGATCAAGGTCTGTACTACCACAAGCGCCGTATTCTTTACTGCTGTATTAATCCGCATTAAGTCTACGTTTCATTTTCTGTCAAAATCTATGCTGCAATCATCGACATGGAAGCGAAAGCCTGGGATAACAATTTAGAACAAGGCCTTATTAAAAGATATTCATTTCCCCTGACAAATGAAAAAGGTCTCGCGAAGAGCAAAACGCTGTTTATCTGTCCCGTTGAGCTAATCACCCGTCCCTGGTGTTCGCTTCTCACGGATCATTATGGGGGCCGCTAGCTAGCTCGCTGGATGATGAATAATTTACTAAACGACGAAGGAGTTTTGTGTTTCACATTCGGTTTATCCTTATGGGTTACCTTCCCACATAGGCCGATGCACACTTTGGACTACAGGCGGAGCAGAGTGGGAGCACTGTGAGGTTTTTCGGGCATTAAAATTTGATGTTGGATTGATTCGGTTGTCTGTCGTGCGGTATACTTCTGGAGCCCACCTGATCGCAGCAAGGGCAATGGTCTAAAAGTTTCTTTTTGGCGAGATTGATTTCTAAATCGACTTCTTTACCTCGTTCTATATTCTATATATAAACTTCTGTCGAATTCCATGCATAGATTTTCATACCATACAAGTCTTTGGCAGCGGCCCAGTCTCAACTCAACTGCCCGGTCCATTCCCTCCATGTCTGGACGCACCTTTAAGTGGTCTTGTGGCGGTCGAAGCAAATTTTGAGTGAACGCAACTATGTCACATTAAGGCGCTCTAAGACCGCGGTCATCTAACACATACACAATGTAGTTTTCAGTCTGGTCATTCATTTGTTCCTTTCAAATAATATCATTAGTCGTAGGCTGGTGAGCAACTCGAGCTGCTTTGTCCATTAATAATATACACTATCTAAATTTAATGGGATGAACGCTGTCGCCTTGTCACTTTGAAGTGTTGTATAAATAGATTGAATAACATCGAACCTTTGGCCGCTTGCCTGATTTAATTGCTGATTTTATGATGCGTTTAATGGGATGCTGAATTGGTGCGTGTCGTTAAAAGTGTTTATGGGCGACAACGAAATAATAGCTCTGATGTACGTAATGTGTAATATGTGTAATTCGAGAAATAGGAAATGTACAGCAAATTTATAGATGGCTTTTTCATATCCTGCTGGTTGTACATGTTTTAGTGGATACTGTATTCTCTATCTTCTCCCCCACCCCTCTCTCTCTCTCTCTCTCTCTCTCTCTCTGTTGATTTAAACTAAAACATCAAACCCCTATAATACAACATGAATGATACTATTGCATTTTGATAACGCTATTTGATACAATTGTTATCCGACATTCGAAGTTCTGTCCCAGTAAATATTTATGGTAGATAACGTTTCTCTGAAAGCAGGGAACTCCCTTCCAAATCTTGCATGTAAAACAGATCTGCTGCTGCAAATTAAACATACATGAACACAGCAGCTCGAAATCCGCACGTATCAAATAATCGCTTCGTATCAAATGATAGGAGATTGCTAATAAGCTCATGGTAAACATGTTTGATTGTGGTGCTCGGAATTAGCAGCGCCGAGATGTCTTGTTCCTGTGATTCAGTGAACGAATTTATTCATGTTACCAGGACAATAATTTGCCAACATATTAACATCTGACAATTTACATGTTGAAGCGTTTGCAAAGGGTTTTCTTTTGGTCGAATATGGCCTTTTGTAAAACTTGAGTATCTCTGTCTCTCTCTTTATATGTTTTTGTGCGCGCGCGTGTGTGTGTGTAATGTTTGCCAGAAAAAATAGCTTCTCCAGAATACCCGATTTTCTATCAAAACGTGGAGTTCAATTCCTGAACGTACCCAGAATAACAGACGTATGGCAAGACAGCTATGTACGAATAGCTTGAGAGGCACAGTTAACTTCAACACATGGCGGTCTGTGAAAAAAAAAACAGCTAGAACCAGGCTGCCGGAATTTTCATGTACCTGTATTCAAACATCATTAAAGCAATCTTTTCTTTTCGGTCGGGGGGACCACCCCTTGAGCTCCATCCGCAAATGTTAGTGAATTGAAAGAAGAGATGCGCGCCTACTAATTGAATTTTGTATCACTCAAGTTCTTGCGGGTAACATCGTATTCTACCGGTGCTAATAAGACGACGGCTGTACTGTATGTATCGTGGAGCCTGCTAATCAAACACATGCCTTGTTATTTGTGTCGATTCTGATTTGTATACAGCAATTAGAGTCTTGTTATCCGACCAAATTGAGTCAAATGGGGAGGAAATACATGTATTCGAGTTTGCCTAGAAACCCTATTCCTGGGCATAGACGAGGGGACCAAGTGGCCCTGAAAAGGACGAAAGTAACTCAAAGCATGGGAGGGTCTAACGAATTATTTCCCCGGTTTCTCTGATTGCTCTGCTCAAGTGGTTGTAATTGCGAGTACTTTATTGCTGGGTTTCCCTGCCAACAATCGATGAGAGCTCGAAAAAATAGTTTTTCGGGGTTAACAAGGATGCGAAGTCTCTTTCTCTGCTTTGTAGTGCACTAGGAAAATTTTACGTTTTGGCAACGATGCATTTCTATCCAACCGACTGAAAATCGTTATAAGCTTCAACTGCCAGCAGAGATACAGGGTTTGCAGTATTCTCCCAGTGGACTGTATGGGTACTGCATGCAAATCATATGTAACGTG